ATTATTTGGAAAAAATACATAATATAGATAATATATACACAAATTACCTGTTCTCGATTTACCTACATATTTACAGCTGGGCATTTCAATATGAGCTGCTGGTGCACGAGACTCGACTAGCTTCATTTTACAGATGTCAGATGGTAATCCACATGATACAGCTACTGATGCAATATCCAAAAGATAATTGCGCTAGCATCCAACACATCAGGGGACTTCACAGAAGGTACGGAAGAACATTCATTAGGGTCACATGCAGGCTGGATTGGTTTTTCATCGATGGGTTCTTCAGGGCTATTTTGAGAGTCTGAGTCTATGTGGTATTATATTTCGAATATTGCAGTAGTAGATGTGTGTGTATCAAATACTTATTGCAAATTTATATAAAATTTAGTATTAGTATATTGAGTGAGTTTCAGGTAACACCAATAAGATTGGTGTTGCATACATATCATTCGTTAAAGTTGTGAGCATAGATATGTATGTGATTTTTGTAAAAAGAAGGCTCTCCCTTCTTTTTAACGAATCGAGCGCGAGCAAGGACATCTGTATCTATGGTTGTGAAGATAATTTCAAATTACTTTGCTTCTAGCTGTTAGGCTAATTTTGAGCGATTAACAAAGATAAAGTTAAAGCGCAAAAAACACTCGTTGCTGACAGAAAGATTCACCTCATTAATCATTTTTGACCTAGTAAAACTTAGACGTTACGCTTTGTTCAATACCATTGTACTTGCGAATTTTATGAGACGTGTTTAAAATTAATAATATGTTCTTCACTAGGCTTCCCTCCTCTCTGTTCAGCATACGTTTGCATGCGGCTGAAGGAATTAGATTGCAAATGAATGCAAATCAAAGATGGGCATGACGAGTCTGCAAATACATAAAATGAATATTTGCAAATAATTTTTTTTATTGTTGCCAAAAAAAAAGGGTCAGGCCTCCTGCCCCTCCCCCTCTGGATCCGTCACTGTACAACATTTATAAATCGCGTTTCGATTCCTGCAGTGGACAGTGCGCAGAGAACCAGTTGTATGAATCTATACTTTATAACAAACAAATAGTTTGAGTGAACAGAATTTCTCAAGAAATGTACGTTTTTTTTTCATTTCTTCCAACATTTTATTTTATTATTAAATGCTTTCCTGATAAAATTTTTAGACACTCAAAAAATAGGCACTAAGGCAGTTGCAAAGAGAAAACTGAAATACCTCCAAACTCGTAAAAGAATAAGAAAATGAATGAAATGCAGAGCGCGTTTTTACTGCAACGTGATATAGAGTACGAACTCTTTGATTCACAGTTCGGTACGCTAACTACTGGATCAGAGTTCGGAAAGTTGACACTAACGCAATACCCAGAAGACAAATTAACATTGCCCTCGAACTCACAAAAAATAGAAAAATGGATAAAACAAGAGGGTTTTAGAATTCCTTTAACCCAAGAATCCCTTTTTTACAGACAGACAAACGGACATTCAGATACAAGTATCTTAATAGCATGGATACCAATCTATTAGTTTATTTAAAAATTGCTCTAACTACAATAATCAGCTGTGATATTTAAATTAGATGAAAAAGTGAATTATCAAACCTACAAAACACTATAAATTAGGCTTAAGTTTAATATATCAGTCCCTTCTTATATAGGAATACAGTTTATAATATAATAATTTTGTCAAGTATTTAAAGGAAAAATTAAATACTAAAGATTAACAGTTAAATTCAAAATTAAACTCAATAATAATGTTTCAGATATAATTAATACTTTATTGTATGTCAACCCTATGGCTTATAGCACTAAAAATTGAGTTTTAATACTTGGGGTGAGCAGAACACAAATTGTCCATTGTGCTGTTTCATGCTTAACAAGAAGTAAATCTGTTATTGTTTTTTTTTTATATATATAAAGATTGATTTCTCAAACATTTCTACTTAAAGTCAAAGTTCTATAAATAACTTTATTTATTCAAGATACCGACTAGAAAAGACGTAAAATTATTAATAGAAAGGAAGATCACAATACATAACGCTTTTTGCCGGCGAAATGGTTCTATTGTTGGGTGATTTTATGTTTTATAATTATTGTCACAAAAACAACAGGGCAGTGGAAAACAAATTTCGTTACTTTTGGTTTTCAGCACTAGATGGCGCTACATTATATTGTATATGTTAGTTTGGTGGTAAAATAATGATGGAAAGCAAACTGTAATAAAAGTGTTTTTTATTTATTTCAAATTAGAATTAGAAACAGAAAAGTGCTGAGAAAAATCTAGGTTTAAAAAACTTCATAAAGTCACTGTTTTTAATGTAAACTATAATGTATTTTATTTAATAGACAACAACATGAAACCGTATATCACGAGCGCTTTCGAAAGGTAGATATATATATATTTTTCATCAGGGGCAAATATATAGATTAAAAACAGTGTTCTGCATAAAAGGAAACGTTTGACTAAAGAAATTATTTTAAATGTGTAATACAGACGAACTTGCAAATTTTACTAGACTGTTTCAGTGTCAAGTCATCACTCAGCTGATACACTTGACCAAGTTTCCCGAGAAAGAAAAGATTAACCTTATTATTTCAAATGCCATTTCATTATGAAGTTTTTCTTATTTGCTTTATATTGATAATGACAGTAGTATTACAATATAAATATTTGAAACCATAATTCAATATTTCTATTCTAAGATAATAAAATAAAAATAATTCACCGATACTTTGTATAATTCGATAATGAAAATAAACCTTTGATAAATTATTTATTTTTCAACATTTGTCTCAAATGAATTACTTTCTTTCCCTTTGCAGATTATTACAGCGGCAAAACACTATTACTAAATTATATTAAATGGAATGGAGATTTGCCAAATACTACAAACTACGTAATTTTATTCGTATTATTTAAAACTGATGGGAGAAAATGAAATATCCCTATAAGGATACTTATATATATATATATCTACAGTAGTTACATCATAAAAATATTTTGTATTTATTGTGGATCAATTAACAGAAAACAAATCTAGGCAGAAGCTCTTAATCTACCCCTTCATTGAAACAATACATTTTTTCATAGGTTCTGGAAACTAAATCATATACCTCCAAGTTATCTTACACATGACTAAGTCAAGATAGCAAATGATTGGTGAATGGTTAGTTTTCATTATATATATATATAGAGAGGAGGGGGGGGTACATTGCTACAGCTTTCTGTAAGCAAGACATTTGTAAAAAGATGCACCTAAGACTAGGAACAAATTCTGAACAAGAAACTATGATTACAATTATTAGGGAACCAGGTGGTCATAATCAGAAGAAACGTTACATTTTTTTAATACATCAAGAAAAAGCACTAATATACTACACTACAATCCGCGTAATTTTAATTAAGTACTTTGCAATTGAGATAAACTGTAATATTTGTAGAAATGTTTATGTCATAATTACAAAATTTAAATCAACTTAATAATCTAATACAGTCATTTGCAGTAGAATATTTCAACTTATTTATAATAATACCGAATAGCACCACTTCATTAGCTCGCATTAAAAGTCGGATTTTAAATCCTTCAATAACTACTAGCATAATTCTAAACACAAAAAACAACATAAAATTAAAACTTCAAAACCTGCTATTTTTCAACTATATGTTTTGTTTTCTCATACAAGAATTTTCACCTACCTAAACATATACTTGTAAAAGCTATCTTGCGAGGTAGAATATTCGTACAAAGGAGATCTTTTGGTTATCATTGAAACAATCCAATACACAAAGCCAACTCACAACATAAACTTAACACATACGCATATATTAATGCATAATCTTCATATTATCATGTTAGATAGGAGTGTGGCACATACGCATAAACTGCTCCCGGCTAAGCCTATTTAGTTCTGACGAAATAAAAAAAATAGTTCGATGGGTGTTAAATAAAATGCAACGACATTTTTGGCGCAAAAACAAAATGACCACTCAAACTTTGGGTAAACCAAATCGCTTAAAGAATGTACTTCAATTTATTTCGATGTAACTGTAATGTTGCAAGGTAATTAAATAAATTCATAACATTTTAATAACTAAATGATCTATGAGAACAATTAACTTCCATTTCAAAATTGACTAACAGCTACTGAAATAGGTTTACTGATGAATTTAAAACATTAAGATATTCAAATCATATTTTATCTATCAATTGTAATCTCATCCAAAAATATTATGATTGATTTATCAGCATTCAATTACTTTTTAATCTGTTTAAAGCTGCAAAGTTCTAGTTTTTTTATGTTATGGTTTATTTTCATTAATTGCATAGTATTGAGACTGTTAGTTTGATTTGATTTTTGATTCTCAAATTAGAAAACAGCAAGTTTAAAATGCATCCTCTAATTAAGAGAGTTTGTTTGTAATTAAACACAAAGCTACAGAATGGGCTATCTGCGCTCTGCCCACCACGGGTATCGAAACCCTGGAATCTAGCGTTATAAGTCCGCAGACATATCACTGTGCCACTGGGAGAGGGCTTTTTATCAAGAGAGAGAGAACGTGAAGAAACACTGAAAACTTATCTGTTAAATTTTGCTTTTGAAAGCAACATTAGTGTCATATATTTAAGTCAAATAACGATTTTCATTCAACGAACAAGTAAATATAATGCACATTTTTTATTCTGAAATCCAATCTAAAATCACGAGAAATAATTTCTGTTTTTTTAAAGCTAATAAAGCCTGAAAATTATTTTAAAAACCTGCAAAGAATGTATTTTTAAATAGAGATCATAAAAGTATATACATTTATTTACATTGATAACCAATTCCCCGTTTTTTCTGTACACAATACATTAATCTTTAACGACTAGGACCTTTTTTTTAAATTCGGAGTACAATTACCAAATGCCAAATTACACAACAAATATGCCAATAATAATTTAAAATTAATTTATTTATATTATGAAAGAATACACTATATTTTTACAGTACTGATTATCTTCTTATTGATTTCTGGGTTATAATAGAAAAATAGAAACTAATTAATTAAACAGTACTGATTATCTTCTTCTTGATTTCTGGGTTATGATAGAAACTAATTAATTAAACAGTACTGATTATCTTCTTCTGGATTTCTGGGTTATGATAGAAACTAATTAATTAAACAGTACTGATTATCTTCTTCTTGATTTCTGGGTTATGATAGAAACTAATTAATTAAACAGTACTGATTGTCTTCTTATGGATTTCTGGGTTATAATAGAAACCACTGGTTGATCTACGAAGTAACCGCTGTCTTACTTAAAAACATGTTGTTGCTGTTTCATAATTCAATGTTTTAATTTCTCAATAATAAAAGTTTCAAATGACATGATAACGGTGAACATAACATATAAGAGAAAGTTTTTTTAAGTATTACGATTTACTTTTATTTGGAAATAACTTACTAGCTCGACTCTATAAATGTGTTAATCGTTCAGACTTAATTGCTTTATATGAAGTGTAACAAAAACACAAAATAAAAAACAAAATTTTTCGAAAATAGGTTAAAGTTCCAAATAAATCTCATAAAAAGAATATTCGAAGATTAGACATTTAGTTTCTATCACTTTCACTTGTTAATGCACTTTAAAATAACCTGCGGAAGGTTGTTAATATTTTTCTCATATAAAATACTCTCTTTCTAGATTGAAATATCTCATTCCCTACTGCTAGTTGTTTCCTCTTCATTACCAAACTTGTTATTATTAAATTTTCCTTCACTGAAAATAATTTGTTGTAATTTATATTTTTTGAGAGCCTATGCAAATTTATATAACAATATTAAAGTGAAAATTAAAATCCATTAGAAATTGAAAGTATTATGAATTCGAGTAGCAGCACTTAGTAGAAAAACTATGCAGCACAGCGATGAATAATATGTTTTGAATATTTTAGAACTCGTAGTATGTTTTGGAAACTCTAATTTAGCTTTTATCTAATTATCAACTTTCAGCTCTTGCACCTGAGTTTTCTAAAGTTAGACAGTTTGTAATGTCTACAAGAAGTCGAGAGTTTTTAGTAAAATACAAGTAATACTGAGATCAAAATGTTTGGAAAATTTACATTTTCGTATAAGATGATCTGGTTCAAAAGTTGATCAAAAACAGTAAAACATAAATTAATTATATTTCAATGTGTTAAAAATAACCTGCAAAATGCTGTTTTTAAGATAATATAATAAAATGAGATAATATTATCATAAGTGTGAGCCACGTTCATCTAGGTGAACATGATGGAAAATGTTATAAACCTCTTGCTAACACGCTTTAGAAATTTATAAGATATATGTCACTGCCACAAAAAACTGAAAGGCTAGATAATTTTAAAATGTCAATTTTCAAATAACAAAAATTGGGTCTTGAAGGGTCTGAATATTCGGTAAAAATCTTGTTCAATTATACGTGGTAAAAGCACTATGGAGTACGAGGACGCCTTGAAACAAAAATAGAATTGACCCAAAAGGCTCAAGCACTTTCCATAGGGTAAGTTTCTATCAAAGCAGCAAGACAAAACAAAGGTTTTAGCTCCTGACGCAACAGTGTCCACTTCGTTAATAATTCCAGCCCTTTGGATCATTTCCATTCTTGTTTTACATCTTTGCTCAAAATATACAAAAACACACTATTGTTTGGAAGAGTTCATTCTTTAATTGATGCCCTTTGTCACTCTTTATTTCGGAGACGTCAGAATTGTCACAAATTCTGCAAAAAATCAGAAATGCAATAAAAATATTAGAATTCAAATCTAAAAATACTACCTCATGTCCACAGAAAATCATATGATCCACCATTTGTTAATAATATAACATTCTTCTTATGAACATTAATGAAATATAGAAACAGAGGGTTGTTTTATTAATAATTTCTAGTGTAATTTCTGTTACACTAAATTTGATGTTTAGCACATAAAACGGATTAAGTACATATGGAGAGAAGGAAGTTTTTAAACCTTAGGTTTTAAACAAGTGAACAATACAAACTAAGTTAACAGCGTTAAGTTTCAGTTGAAGACTGGTGACTTTAAATAAGTGATTGCTTTTCGTTTTAATCGGATTATCAAAATTTATTAATTAACATTCTTGTCTTCAAAACCTCTGTCTTCAAAATGTTATTTTTTGCATGCTTTAAACATCAATAATTTTTATGAAGATGTGAAAGTATCTTCCTAATACTAGAATAAAATAATCTAAAGATATTTGTTAAATAACATCTTCTCTTGTGTTAATAAAGCCTGTCTGTAAGTTGTTAAAGGAAAAAAATAAGTAATTATCACATAGATAATACTCTAATGTAAAAATTGGCGAACTTGAAATATTCTAATTCAAAATAAATGGAATTTAAATTATTTAAAATAACTCAAACCCATAGTTCTCTTAAAGAATTGTCATTATGACTGATGTGATGAGCTCAAGCCATCCTTCCTCTGAGGTCAACAATAAATCTCCAAGTTTAAGCAAACTACTATTTGTTTCAAGAAGTGGCAAAACAAAATGGCTGTGTCTGCTGTTGTGTCAGTAACTTTGGTTCTGGTTTTTAATATAAAACATACGATTTTATACATTAAACTCATTACATTATATGTGCCATTCCCCGGCTCCAGAGGGAGCTTATGGTATAGTTTTATAATAATTTTTGCAATTCAGTATAAAAGACAGATTTTATAGGCTCAAGTTTTTAATGGATTATTCCTGTCTTGCTTTTTGAGCGGAATGACACTTCGGTCTCAATAATGGAACCTTCATCAGATCCGCTGTGTCTTCTGTGTCGCAGGAGTTCGTGTTAAAAACGAGGAGATCTGTGGCAGAGCTCTTGTTGGAGTTCAGATTTTATTTATATTCATTCTAGAATTTTAAATATTAATAGATTATTTTTTAAACCTTCAGTGCTTTTATTTCTAACAGAAAATCATTATTATCAGTTTGGGTTATGATACAAATTCAATACGAAGAACTACACCAAGCGCTCTTACATTTAATTTTACTTTGACATACAATAGATACGAGTAGTTTGGTTTGTTTGTTTTTGAATTTCGCGCAAAGCTACACGAGGGCTATCTGCGCTAGCCGTCCCTAATTTAGCAGTGTAAGATTAGAAGGAAGGCAGCTAGTCATCACCACCCACCGCCAACTCTTGGGCTACTTATTTTACTAACGAATAGTGGGATTACGTCACATTATAACGCCCCATGGCTGAAAGGGCGAGCATGTTTGATGAAACGTGGATTCGAACTCGCGACCCGCAGACTGCGAGTCGAGCGCCCTAACCACCTGGCCAACGTGTATGTATTTAATTGATACCCAAAGAAATTTTTCATCATTATTATCCAATGTATTTAACATAATTATAATATAGATAGTTTTATTTTTAGCTCACCTTGATAATTCACTAGTCCATCGCCATCTAAGTCGGCCTCTTTGATCATGTCTTCTATATCATCTTCCGTTAGCTTTTCACCAAGGTTAAACATCACATGGCTGAGCTCAGAGGAACTGATGAAACCGTCCCCATTTCTGTCAAATACCTTGAAAGCCTCGCTTAACTCTTCCTCTCTGTCAGATTCTTTCATTTTTTTCGACATCATGAAGAGAAATTCGTTAAATTCGATTGTCCCGTTGCCTGTGGACAGAAATCAAAGAAATGAAGCATGATAATGTAACCTTAAAACAAAAAGTTCTTCGATAATTAAAAATAATATTATACTTTTTTTAGAGAAGTTGTCTAAAATTATCTCAAACGTGGAAATGTTGAAAGCGAAATAAAATATCAATTTTACGTAAAGATAATACAGAAATATAGTATCTTACTTCCACAATATATCTGAACGTTAATAAGATTCCTCTGTTCTTTATATTTTATCCTCAGTATAAAAAAAGTTCGGTAAGTAGAAAGTTAGATAAAATGCACAAAAACTGAAGATTCAATAATTATGTTATTTAACGTTATGAAATCCCCTAAGTAGAAAAAGTGCTTAACTCATTTACTTCCAAACGCCTGTATTATATCCTAGTTTTATCTAATTCTCTCAACAAAAGATCATTACGTTCTAGAGTACATTACCAGCTGTATTTAGACAGCACGCCATCAGCTGAATTTGCATAAAGGTTCCACGATGTATTACTGTGTAGGATCTATAAATGTCAGCATTTTTGCCAGACAGCCATTTGGTGTCAAGGTGCCATGAAGAAAGGAGCTCACAGGCTTTCAAAGGTGCATGTTTCTTGTTGTCGTTTTTTTTTTTGAAGTAATCCATTAATTCGCCAACTCATAAGCTCTCTTTCATTATACGATTTGTACTGAAGAAATGGGAACCCATTGGACTCGCAAAAGTGGAATATTAAACGAGGCCACCAATAAGACATCATTCCTCAGAACATACGAACTTTGAAATACGTTGTAAAATGAAATCACATATTTGACATTACATCTAAATCCTAGGATCTCAGTGAAAATTCACTACTACAGACAAGCACATCAAATGTGCACAAGGAGGTCCATGCTTCTAGGCTTCACGGAGGGGCTGCAGCCAATAAGCCACACATCACATCTCTGTTTACAAGGTATTTGCTCTCATGATGTACTGAGAATCAAATTATAGATGAAACACGATGGATAACAATCGTGTGGAGTATTTGTTCCTGCTACTTATAGTTTACTTCGAATTGGCAGGCCTAAGTTTGGTAATAAATCCAAAGAATGATTTTAATGTGACAAGAAAAGTGGTGAAGAGGTATTATAATATGTTATTTTTGTTCGTTTGAACAGGTTTATCGATAACAATTAAAGAAGTCATAAAGGCCTTGCTATATTGTGACATGCTGGACAATGCTACATTGTTTGCACTGACAAAATGTACGGGTCAGGCCGTATTTCCTCCACATAATATTGCATTATGCACAATTGGACAGTATTTTAAGACACGTGTCTTATTCAGCTCAGTACCCCGACGTTAATCTACATCAACTGCTTTGAGATGTTTTTAAATGCTTCCTAAGGACAAGAATAGCATACCAAAAGTATGACTAAACTTGGAGCTGATATGCAAGAAGAGTAATGATTTATTCCATTAGACTTGTACTAGCGATAGATGACAAGTATTTGTAACAGAGTTTACAGTGATGTGTTTAACACCAAAGGTAACTCCATTCCTTATTAAAATGGTGTCCCAGTAGCAAAAAACGACACTCGACTTCCTCAAGGGTGCTTTGAATTGTCATATATAAAGAAGGATAACCTTGTACAAAACATCACCTACATTACTTTAAAAAAGTTTATACTAAAGCAACCATACTTAAACCAATGATACTTGAAATACAGATGACGTGCTTGGAGTTTCAATGATATCTCATTATTGACAAAATGATTACTTGAGTTAGTAATGGTAAAAAATAACAGATCATGTTAGGTCAGAAAAGGCCAATGGCATATTATGTCTGATCGTATAAAGCATTTTACGTCACACATTCTTATTCTCATCCACCTCTTGTTTTCCACAGCAATACTTATAAATGATGCTATACCAGCAACTGTTCTTAAATCTTTCGAGCAAAATAACTGTTTTTATTTTATCATTTCTCCAAATCCGTCGGGCCTGGCATGGCCTGGAGGTTAGGGCGTTTGACTCTCAATCTGCGGGTTGCGGGTTTGAATCATTGAACATGCTTACCTTTTCAGCCGTGGGGGCGTTATAATATAACGGTAAATCCCACTATTCGTGGGTAAAAGAGTAGCCGAAGAGTCTACTAGCTGCCTTCCCTCTAGCCTATCACTGCAAAATTAGCCCTCGTGTAACTTTGTGCGAAATTTAAAACAAATCAAAGCCAAATCCGTAATATTGCAATGCAAAAACAGCTCTCTAAAGTTTATTATTGGGAGTTCTGTTTGCTTTAAATGTGTATTAATTCAATCAAATTAATTGCTTCATTTACATGTCCTTTTCACTTAAATTTTAATAATTTATATATATACAAAACCATAAAATAATATTACTTAGCAGCGGTTGCTTTTTTTACTTATTCAGCAGATAGTTTAGTCTTATAAAACTGTGCAACTATTTTATTTGTTAAGCTTGTGAAAACATAAGGCATGCTGAATCAGACTGAATTGTCGTATGGCTAATATAACACTATAAAAATTAACTCGACGCCCTTTCAAAAATATTTTATTTCGAACCATTTTAGCATTTCAAATGTCGTCCAAAATCTTGTAGCAGAGATAATAAATACTTTCCATTTTCGTGAGTTACACTACATTTAATAAACATCCCTTGGTAACCAGCAGTCGGTGTTGAAGAAGCTAACACAGCAGCATTTCATTATCCAGTGATCGGATCTTACATAACACATCTTTATTCAACAATAACAAATATTGAACCACAAAATAATATGGATATTTTATTTCAAAATTTCTTTTTTATTTGCTTTCAAATAAAGTAACAGTCTATAAAACTATCAAAGTATGTGCTTTCAAGCAGTATACTAATATGTTACCTATATTTGACAAAATGTTGATTTCGAGGACATCGCCACCTACCGTCTTGGTCCACCATCTCAACCATATTACGCAACTCTTTTTCAGTGGGTTGTTGTCCTAGAGATTTCATTACAATTCCCAGCTCCGTCGCCGTTATCCTTCCATCCGAGTCTTTGTCAAATAGCATGAAGGCTTCCTTGAATTCTGTTCCATAACAAACAAGCATTAGTCACACAAACAGTAGAAATAATACAGTAAAATACCATATACTGAATATTTTATATTTTCGTGTTGACTTACTTAAATGTGTCCAATAAACACAGAATTATATTTAATATAATAGATGTACTTCCACAGGGTCCCCCAAAGTGTTCTGTTTCAAGAATAAATAACACCAAAATTAAAAGTAACAAATATTTTGGTTTCTGGCGTTTGAAGTCCATATGTCATGCTGTGTTGTAGCCTACAGAGTGCATAGTTCTTGTCGTGATTCATAGCATGCGCACGTTTTACTGACGCCACGACGGTACAAATTGCAACGTTAAGCGCCCCTTATGTGACGTCATTTTAGTGTCTATTGACTGACTGACAGACAGCACACTATTGTAAAGTGATGCGAGTGGTTAAAACAATCGAAGTAGCCTTCGGACCCTTTCAGGGAAGTAATGAATACTTGAAGCTTTTATATTATATTTTCTTAGACCAGCTTTTTATACATATAAGTGTACTTTCGTTGCTAAGAGACGAAACTCACAGTCTGCACATTTTTTACTGTATTTCAGTTTAGTGTTTGTTTGTTTTTCTCTGTACACTACACAAAGTATAACTTATGCAAAAGTTTTGTGCGTAATTTTCGATCATGAGACAAAGTACAAAACAGACCGCTCTGCGTAAAGAGCAAGCTTATTTTTAAATGCATGCAAAATCTCCTCGTTGAATTGTCTTGCTTTAAATCACATTAAGCCTCGGAATTCGTTGCTATAGCCAACTCCAAGAATTCCCTTCTCCTAGGGGATTGTTTCTAAAATTAACAGCCAGCTCAACTGTTTACACGCACATTTAGAGCCGATTTATAAAAAAATCTTCAGAGTTTATTGGAGTTATTCAATAAGTCTATAATGTATAATCGAATTGGACAAATAGGAAAATTCGACCTAACTTGAAGATTTATAACTGGTTTTGTTAGACTTTTCAAGAAAATTGATTATTTTGTTTAATGGGTTCGTGGGTTTATTATGATATGGGTGTTTAAATCCTCCGTTTTCTTCCCTGAAACATGATTAAATGTAAGTACTTTGAAGTTTTTGAGGTTACAAAGTAGATATTTGCCGTAAAAGAAACACAGTTCAAGTTCACTGATTTTCTATAACAACTGACTGCTTTACAATGAGTAGCTGAGGGTAAGACGAACCTCTTTGGAGGCCATCTTACTCCCCATCAGTATACACGTTCTGTTGTGCAATTGCACTAGATAATGCACAACTTGCATATGGCAGACCCCTCCCACCCCCGATCCCTGCTTGGATCATTTTCGTATTGATTTAAATGTAGTTGGAAAATGTAGCATTTATTTTAAATTGCAGTTGTTATGAGTTAAATGAGAGGTTTATTACCACATATTGAAGGCTTCATTTTATCCATAAGTATAGGTAAAACGGCTCCAACAATAAGAAGTGTATTTTTTCAATAACTGAAACAAATCTACGTCTAGTGCTTGTTTTAATAGAAATTGTATTTACTGTAAACAAGAGCTCGTTTTAAAACTATCAATTTTCATTTCATTCATCTTAATAGGAAAAACCACATTTAGAACTAAGATGGTCGTCTTACCCTACCTTCCCCTGCATGTTTACTGTACTAGCAAACCATGTGGAAAAAAAATAAACCATACTACAATCTGCCATGTGTTAGAAAGTCCCACGAAAAAAAAATATACATGTGTATTCTATCACATATTAGAAATTTTCAGGGTAACCTACCCATGTATTCCATCACATATTAGGAAATTCTAGAAGAAAGTTTACAAGTGTTACATCACACGTTAATTCCACGAAAATCGTTGTTTGTATTCCATTACAGGTTAGAAAATTAAATAATTGACACACATATTCCATTACAGCTAGGAAATTCCAGGAGAAACATGGCACAGTTCCAGTTGAAAACTATCATATTTTACTGTCATATAGCTTTAAAAAAATGAATATATCTCTTAAGAATTTTATTCAGTAAGAATGTTAAACATTTTTCACACAGATGTTCTGCGTTTACTTAACGTCCTTGAAAACATAGTGTAGATAATTTTGAAATTGCTTTAATTGTCGTCTCAAGCCAATGTTATATACAATAGTGGTAATTCAAGAGAGCTTATACTCGTTTGGCCAGGCTTCTGTTACCCCTCTCTCATAAGATGTGAATCATACCCAAGTGAAGGGCTGGTGCAGAGATTTAACAAATTGGTGTGTATTGAAAATTATTGCTGGCAAAAGTAATCTAGTGTGACACTGCACTAGAACCTTGGTCCGACTTGAAAGTGCGATATTAACACAATCCTTCCTCAAGAAGTGTTTCCCTTTTGTTCCATCAACCAGTGAGTTTGAATTACATCAGAGGTTTGTCAGCCAGAAAACTTCTTAAAACACGAACATTTGTGTTAATAGAAATCCTATTTCTTTGTTTACACATGTATTCGAGTCGTTTCTTTACCGTCTGTGTTCATTTTATTAGTCTGTATGCGCTTTCTTCGTGTTGCGGTACTTAATACTTACCTGTCAGTAACAGTTTGATTTGTTGATACGACTACGTGCATTCCATCACACGTTAGGAAGTTCCAGAAAAACTTCACTTGTATTCAATTACATATCGGAAAGTTCCCGGAAAACTATACATATACTTCCTCACACATTTGGAAGTTCTAGGAGAAAAAGCAACTTATTTATTCTGTCATATATTAGTGAGTCCCAAAGAGATGGGTCATGGTTTCGAATTCCCGTCCCACTAAACATGCTCGCCCTTTCAGCTGTGGGGGCGTTATAATGCGACCATTAATCCCACTATTCGTTGGTAAAAGAGTAACCCAAGAGTTGGCGGTGGGTGGTGATTACTAACTGCTTTCCCTCTATTCCTTCACTGTTAAATTAGGGACGGCTAGCGAACATAGCCCTAGTGTAGCCTTGCGCGAAATTCAAACTAAACCCAGAGAGATTTACATGTGTACCTTATCTTATGCAATGAAAACCTACAAAAAACTTCTAGGACGTCCCAGGATGAAGTGCACATGCAATTCATGGTATGTTAGGAAATCCTAGGAAGAAGTAAACTTGTATTATCTACGAATGTGTTGAATCACTGAAATAAATAAATATTTTTTTAATATTCTTCTTTAATTGAGAAACACTTTTACTTAACAATATATTTCAAACAACATATATCGAACTTGTTAACGAAAATAAAATATATATTTTAGATATATTTGTTTAATTTGCAGCACATGTACTCTACGTACCTGCAACTTGCTCTTCTGTGAGTCCGTATTCTGTCTGTAAAAAGAAAATAAATAATAAGTAATTATCAATATAACCTTGGGCTTGATTATATTGTATTGTTTTTTACCATATGTATGCAACCTTGGCTTGATTACATTGTAGTGTTTTTTACCATATGTATGCAATCTTGGCTTGATTACATTGTGTGTTTTTTACCCTATATATGCAACCTTGGCTTGATTATATTGTATGTATGTCACCCTATATATGCAACCTTGGCTTGATTATATTGTATTTTTTTACCATATGTATGCAACCTTGGCTTGTTTATATTGTATGTTTTTTACCATATGTATGCAACCTTGGCTTGATTACATTGTAGTGTTTTTTACCATATGTATGCAATCTTGGCTTGATTACATTGTGTGTTTTTTACCCTATATATGCAACCTTGGCTTGATTATATAGTATTTTTTTTACCATATGTATGCAACCTTGGCTTGTTTATATTGTATGTATTTTACCATGTGTATGAAACCTTGGCTTGATTATATTGTATGTTTTTTACCCTATATATGCAACCTCGGGCTTGATTATATTGTATGTTTTATACCATATATATGCAACCTTGGCTTGATTATATTGTGTGCTTTTACCCTATATATGCAACCTCGGGCTTGATTATATTGTGTGTTTTTTACCCTATATATATGCTCCACTTAACAGAACTTCATTTCCACGAGGATGTCCTCATTAAGCTGACGGCATGTTAACAGTAGAGTAAAATTTATAGGATCATTAAGCAACTGAATTGCAAAAGTAAGCAAGTCTACACTGTATATTATCAAAAGTATAATGGCAATACATTTTCAACTAGTTATTGGCTCATCCACACAGACTTTGTATATGACCCTACAGTGCACTGCTCGGCAAAGTTTGTAAGAGTGAGTAATTTTCCCATACAGCTGGCTGAAGTCGATCTGCCATGAGGTACAGACCTGTAGGATCTTAGAAAATGATTGCTTATTGAATTTAATATTAACGGAATGAGTTCCCGAGATATTTCAGATAACCTGCTTATATCCAAATATATTGATAGTAAAGTACTGAAGAAACGAGAGACCACTGAGATTATAATATTACATATTGGCCCAATCGCCCAAATATGAATCACTTCTCAGTCCGTACAAAATTAGACACATGGTATGAAAAGAACTAGCATGCCAGCACATCATTAATGTACATGGAGCTCTAGGAGGCCAAAACATCAGTAATGTACAGGGAACTCTAGGAGGCCAGAACATCAGTAATGTACAGGGAGCTCTAGGAGGCCAAAACATCAGTAATGTACAGGGAACTCTAGGAGGCCAGAACATCAGTAATGTACAGGGAACTCTTGCAGGCCAGCACATCAATAATGTACAGGGAGCTCTAGCAGGCCAAAACATCAGTAATGTACAAGGAACTCTAGCAGACCAACACATCAGTAATGTACTGGGAACTCTAGGAGGCCAAAACATCAGTAATGTACAGGGAGCTCTAGCAGGCCAAAACATCAGTAATATACAGGGAGCTCTAGCAGACCAACACATCAGTAATGTACATGGAGCTCAAACTGCTACATTCCACCTATGGACTTCTTATTACCGTTGGAAACTCAAAGGATTGGCATTCATGATGCCTTGAGCTTCAAACTGATTGGAGAATAACGAAAACCATCTTTGATGCTCTACATTCTATTATTAGTTGTCTTCTTTCTTATGAAAAAGATTGGATTTCACAGTAACGTGGAAGTACGCCTTAGACATCACTATAGTATGGGCCTGTTTTATATGGAGGTGAAGTAATTAAGGGAGCCATCAATGATATGTTGTACTGTAATATTCTGTTTTTACTAGGGTGCCTGGTTTGCATTGATACTATTCTATGGAAAAAAACTTGATGATGACGTGGTTAACGTTGAAACATGTGGAGTCTACATTTTAGAAATGTTTTTAATTGCGTATGAATTTTAACGTTGTGTGTTATTTAGTTATTATACCTTATCAAACGTGTCATTGCACCATACATTACTTCAAGCTGTGTTCAGCAGTTGTTTGTGGCAAATAACGTACAAAACATGCTTTGGCCAGCCCATAGCGTTGACATTAATCCACATGAATCACTCTTGAAATTGTTTGCAAGAGACGTGTCGGTTTCTTCAACCAGATGTATGCCAATAGTTACTGGCAAGTACTAGTTAACAGTACAACTAACACCAAAAATGGGCCTACTTCTTATTAAAGGAAGGCCCTAGTGGTGAAACACGACACCTCTTCATATTAAAATATACATATATAACTAGAGAATTGTAACCACTAGTCTTTAAATAATATACTAAAATAATTTATTAGTTGTGTGTTTTTATTTGAATCGTGTACTTTCAAACAAATATAAACAAACACTGAAATAAATGTATTATAACTTTCCAACTGCCGATGTTTCAAATACCGCGAATGCTTTGATTTTCTTTGCTAATGTCAAAGGAGCTTTAGATGTAAGAATCCTTGAAGTGCTCTCTTCATCTGCACTTAGCCCTCTAGGCCTTCCATCCTTGTGCATCGTGAATAAATAAAAAAGATAAAAGCCTATGCGTTGCATATTTGCTACACCAGGTGATTTGTGAGGACTAGTCCGCCTGTCTTCACCATTAATGAAGTAAAAGCATATGATTGATCAAGGTTCTCCAGAAGCCGGAAACGACAAGTAAAATATCAATCTCTAATTCCCACTGGAAATACGAGACGATCACGAGAACTCGGGGAAAAAAAAAACGAGAAAACGTTACCTCTACAGTAATACTATGTCTGGAGTGGTTTTATTTTAATGTATTTGAGTTTAGACTTTATAACTATGTTTGATACTTTATGTATTATTTTATTTAGTTACATCACTATTCAAGTATCACTTGAACCATAAGTGTCTATCTTAAACATTATTTGTCATAAATAAAGTCTCTGTGACAGACGATTTTTTATACCTTTCCATATATAGAGTTCGTTGTGTTATAAGTGAAAATATGGTAATGTACTCATAAAATAAAGGACTGCAAATGTAATGAGAATGATAATTGTTTTAAATATCAGTCACGTGAAACTGTACATTGACAGTTAGATACATAAGACCGTGTTAGTTCTAATGTCACTTCACTTATGTTTCTTCTGCACGCGATTAAGTTGTTCATGTCAAAATTTGGACTGGCTTTTTTAAAACCTTTCTCTGAGATGTTACTATAATTTCTAACCTTTTACTTGAGCATCTTACTTTCTGAACACAAACAGAGTTGCATGCTTCATTTACCATAACTGTTTGTCAATGATTTATTGTCTAGTTACCCCTGGAAACGTTTATTTGATCTTTAAGCGCGGTATATTTTGTTCACATCCAGAACTGTATTTTCTCAATCCTTTCAGTGAAAGTTCTTATTCTTTGTTCACATTCAAAGTTTTCTTTAGCTTTCACCGAGTTATTTTCCTTAGCTTTTAAGCACTGCTTGTAATGTTGTAATAACCATTTTTAACGTAGCTTGATGAACAGAATGGTGCTTTGTTGTTACACCTTCAAAGAGTTTATCTATTGTCATAAATATTGCATATTTCTTTCGTTCCTTCGTTGATGCTAAATTTGTTCTACCCAAAGCTGTTTATTCTCTCTTTCAAGTTCTATTTTATTCTCTGATAAGATCTAATTTAACACTAAAGAAATAAATCACAGATAAATGAAGACCGTCTTTAATTGCATGCTTATTTGTACAGAACGTTTCGGAATAAACATATTCTATTTTCAGCAATATATTAAAAAATACAAAAACGAAAACTTTCAGCGAAAAGACAATTGAATATAGACAATAGATAATGTACGTCACGCCGGTAGTATTTCTATTTATTTTCCCTTTCAGTTGATTGCTTCACCATTTCACTGAAAATAGTACAGTTATCTTCTATACATCTATGACTATTAGGGAGTAGCGACAAAAACTTTATACAACGTACTGATGAACTGTCTTTCATTTTTACAATTAAAATAATGCTTAGATTGCGTTGTCAAATGAGCCATTAACCAAATATATCCTAAGAACGAATACTTTCCAACCCACTAAGCAACTGAACAACAAACGGCCGTTTATTTAGCTCACGATCACTTCTCTCCACAAATTGCCAGCATTATTTGGCACAACCGCCACCTTATTCCCTTGATCTCTTACAGAGAGACCAACTACTTGAACACAGTAACACAGAGACAGCTAGTTTTCAGTTATTTTAATACCTTTTTTTATAATATATCACTATCTAACTTGCGCTGATAAATTTACAGTAAATTCTGTTAAAGAGCCCTTAAATACGTATTTCATTATACATCATGCTCTGTACTTATTCTAACGTATTTGTTGTAGTTGTTGTCCTTTCTTTCTTTTATGTAGATCAGCCTGGTCAACGACTAAGATATTGATTCAATAACATTTGTATGACTTTATAGCAAAGTTAAAGATCCAGCATATTCTCTCTTTTTCGATCTAATCGATATTATATTTCATATCTTTTGAATTACAGTTATCCAAACAATCATAAGTAGCGGCGCCAACCTGTTAACGTGAGGAACATTGAATTGTGTTGCTTCCAATGTCTCAAATGACTATTTTATTTCATTGAGACTTTTATAACAGTTTTGCTGAATTTATTTCTTTTTATTAATTAATATAGCTTTACTTATATTACCTCTTTGTTGGTTCTCACCGATTTGGAAGTTGCTGTAATTCCCTTCATTATATTAGTCCTGTTTTGTTTTGTTTTTTCTCTCTCAACTTCCTACTGGCTCTCCTTTAACCATGAAAGTGACCGTTTTCTGCTTACAATAACGCACGCTAATTCTTTCTTCTTCTAGGTCCAGACAACGGTCGTTTGACCGAAACCATGCTTAATTTTTCTTCCATGTTTTTTTAATATATATTTAGTAATCGTTTTTTTAATTTCATATGTTTACATCGCTGTAGTTGCATTTGTGTGTTACTCAAGTTA